CGTGTAGAATATAGAGGGTGTGCATTTAGCTCTAAGTCCCAAGCTTGGGACCAAGCTATAGTGTGCATATAGAGAGGATGTGCATTTATAGAGCGTGCATTTATAGAGGTGTTACTGTAGTAAGAGACTATCATATCAATAAAAATCACGTCTCTGATATATGGGATGATAGTGAACGTCTGCAACAGAGTGGAGACTATGTATTAGCTGATATACTTCCAAAGACATCTAGTCCCAGCGAAACTGATAGCAAGAAAAAAAGACTGGAGGGACTAAGCTGAAAGAAAAATCCAGGTCTAAGTCTGTTTGTATTTCTGAACCACCTGTCTCTAAGATGCCCTATTATGACCAATTCAATTAATCTCCATGAATTTAGAAAGTTCAGATATAGATAGTGTAATTTTGGATGCATCCTATGAGAAGATGGCCAAAGAAAGTACAAAAATTATAGATGAAAAAAAGAAGCGTTATCCTGAAAATAACTCGACTATTCCCTAAGAAGACTTTCGCAAAACTCAATGATTTCTGCATTGAACTTGATAGCATTGGAAAGCTTCTTCTTAAGCTCTTTCATACGAGTTGCCATACTTTCATAGCTCACTTTTTTTTAATATATTATCGTCCTCACTTAAGTCCTGCAAGTCTTGTGAAATTCTATCTGAAGTTGAGGAAGCATCACATTTAGGAGTAATATTCGCGTAATTCACCTCAAGCTTATTCTTGACCTTATGCATATTGATTGGAATAAAAAATTCCTTACTATTACACTCTAGTCTCAACTCCCACTTTGATGCAAGTAAATCATAATTATATTTATCGAGAAGCGTGTTGGGTAAGATTAGCATTGGCTTAGGGTATTTAACTACAGCAAAATCAGCGTATATAGTACATTCAGGAGCAAAATTTACTGGAACATTTCTAACAATTCTGAGGGATTCTACGGGGATAGTAGCAATACCTCTAAGATTATGTTTTTCTTCTGTATCAATTTCTAGCTTTGATCATTTAGAGATATCCTGAGACATGATCGGACAATTAGCGCCAGGATCAACTACAGCACCTGGAATTACTAAGCGTTTGATATTACATTTTACCGTTGCAACATCTGTAGCGGGATCTTTTCTTTGAACAAAGTCTATCTCCATAGGACTATCGATGAAGTCATCATCCTCAGAATCGGCCGGTATTTTAAAATCATAATTTTGTGGATGATGAAGGGTTGTAATAATGCCAAACTTTTCATTAAACACCTTCTCAATAATTTTTTCAATAATTTTTTCTAAGCGGGATTGATCATCCTGTGTTAGTATTTTTGAACTATGTTTTTCCTTCTTAGAAATAGGAACTGATGCTAACGCTAAAGGAGATATTTCTGTATCTTTTACCTTACGAGACTTACGAGTCTTTGATTTCTTCTTCTGTGAGGAGGTAATAGTATTATGCTCTTTCTTCACTTTTTTTTACCCGAGATATATTAACATTAATTTCAGCATTAGCCTCAGTCTCAGACTCTAATTCAGAAGAAGAACTCTCAGAGCTAGAAGAGCTATCCTCAGATTCTGATGAAGAAATATTATTATCAGAAGAATCTGAATCTGATTGGTCATCTACTCTAGCTAAATGGACTCAGCCACTTTTAGATTTTTCTTCTTCTTAGACTTCGATTTCTTTTGCTTTGTTTTAGAAGACTTGCGAGTAGATTTATGGCCACTTTTACGCTGAGATGATTTCTTAACTGCAAAAATTTGAGGAACTAAAAAAGGTGAGTTTTTGAAAAGCTTAGCCTTAATATGAAAGGCATTATTGGTTCCTAACCTTCTTTCTAATTCCTCATTAATATAACTATTGAGAGCTGAACTATTATATGTTTCAAGCAAACTTAGAGGTGCATCTAAACGTTCTGCAAGCATATATAAAAATTCTAACTCCTTTTTTTCTAAAGGCTTCTGAATATTCTGAGAGTGCACCTGGTTTGTTTGAGCTATTTGCGCTTGTAGAGATGCAATTTGAGAATTTAATTTCTCAATCTCGACCGATGGATATGATTGAGATTGTATGTATTGCTGGGATTGCAAAAGGGGATTGGCACCAAAGAATAATTCAGTTTTATATCTCTCAATCTCTTCTAAAGATGAAAAGATTTCATCAATAGGTCTACTAAGCCTCATACAGCGAACTTCCATTTGATTTCCTGAAGAAAGTCCTCCAAGAAATCTACGGTGAAATTTATCATCTCCCATATTAGCATGTCTTGCAATCCTCTTGAGTTTGTTATAATAAGAACCCACAGAATTGCTTCCTTGAACTGTTATACCAAATAATGCTTGTTGATACTGTTATCTAACTGTGGGATAATTTCCTTTAAAGTAATCAATTAATTGCCTAAGGGTGATATCAGCTAATACAACTGTTCTATTTGCTAAATTCGCATTTGATGTATACACAACTTTAGATGTAGGCTTACCTCTTGCTGGTGTCCAATCTTCATTGAAAATTGTATGCCTAGGAATCACTAAAGCATCGGCACCAGCATCGGCCGTCACAAGTTATGCACTAAGTCCAGCTGGTATTGTAGGTGATAAATGTCCTACGATTAGTGCTTGTCCATCACCTTGTAGTTGTGCCAAAGTACGATTTACAGTAGAAATAATATTGGATAATTCCCAATTTTTACCTGCTATCTCTCTTTCAAGCCATTCACCCGCTTTACCTTTTAAGCATGACTTAAAAAAGCCTAATGCGCTGATCCTATCTGCATTATTTGCCAAATTATTCCCAGAAGCGGTTAAATACCTTCTAAATTCATTGATAAAATAGTCGATATCTTCATCGTAATTTCCACTAAAACTTGGTGGTATATATCCTGCCATACCTATACGTTGTATATTAGGGGGGTTATTCTGTAATGCCAAAATTTCTCCCTGTAAATTAAATATTATTTGACGTTCTTCATGTGTCTTATTTTTCCACTTCTCATATCTATCAAAAAGCCGATCTCGATTATATTCTAGTACCCCTCTATCACCTTGACATTCATGCAGTTGAGCTTTCAGTTGACGATTATCTCTCCTTGTATCAACCCATAAAACTTGTGCTGTCCTTGCCTTGCGGATCTGAAATCGAGAAATAAAAATAAGATAAGTATTTACTCGAAGTAATCTGGCTTTCTCCTCTCTTAGCCAATCATTAGTAGCTCCTATATCTTCATCATAGGATGGGAAATCTGGTATAGAATCTTCTGAAACATCAGTATTATCCCCTAAATCACCTAAAATCTCATCATCAAATTCTAAACGAGAACTTGACATTTCAGGAGGAGGAGAAGGACTTCCACCATATATGACTCGTGTCAATTCTTGAACCCTTTTTTCCGCAGTATTAGCAATGCCTATAGCCTTTAAAGTTTTCTCATGCTCTTTCTCTAATAATCGGTGAACCTCTTGGGGAGATAAGTTTTCTTCTGGCTCTACTGGAGGCAGTATTAAAGATGGAATACTAGCCGATAAATCATCATCAAGTTGCTCACTCAAATTGCGACGATGCCCAATAGATCGATCAAATTCTTCTTGTAATGTTCCAATAGAAACTCTCTCACTAGAGGAGCCACCAGAAAGTGATCGAGGTTTTTCTGTTATTCTAGCAAGATCCTCTTGTAATACCCCATTTAGGGTTTCTGCATCTTCTAAAGCATTCCGGGTATCTTGTAATTCTCTATCACGCTCAGCTATTGTTCTATCAGCTTGTAAAAGATTGTCTTCAAGATTTTTTAACCAATCCCGAACTCTGCGTAAATTTATTTCATTATCAGCAGTACGACCTACTCGTTTTAAACGGTTTACCCAGATAGTAGCATGATAATTAATTTTTTCACATTCATCTATTCTATATGTATGATCTTGTATTCCTGATGCACCTGATGAACCAGAAGCTATATTGCTCAATAAAGGCTGATTATGATCCGATGATGAGGACGATGAGGACGATGAAGAATCTCTTGTTAATGGTATTGAAGGGGTCCCTCTAGGACCAGGTATATTACTCGATGAGGCCATGATAAGATCACTAATCCTATTTTTTAGC